TACTACTTGAATCAATTTCGTTGGTAAATTTATTTTTATCAATAAATATATTGGATAATATTTTATTATATTTGTTTATATTTTAAATGCTCAAAATATTTTTATGAAATTTTAACAGTAATACAGGTCATGGTATCTTATTGGCTAAAAATGTTAAATAAAAAAAAGTAAGATAAAATACATAAACGATCGTTAAATAATATTAAAATAATATTTTTATTAATTAACATTTTAAAAGCTAGATTAAAATTATAAACTATTATAAAACGATCATCGTGTATTATTAAATAGTAAAAATTTGATAAGATTATAAATTGTTTTATATTAGTTTCATAAGTCTAATAATAATAATTTAATAAAATTTAATGGTCATTTCATAATCATTTGAAAAAAAATCAATAATTTCATCAGGGATCCTTCTATATTTTACCCATAAAGTTAATAAATTAACAAAAAAGTACTTATTTGTTTAACCATTTTCAAGTCCCAAACAGATAAAAAAAAGTTTGACAGTAGCCACTGAATCTAATAATTAAATTTAAGTACTAAAATGTATATTAATCTCTTATAATTCATTAATTAATTAATTAAGGGGTCAATAAATATATAAATAAAATAAAAGTAGGAGCTGAACTTACAGGGGCTGTGTGAGCTGCCTTGAGAGTACACTTGCATCCAAAAAAATGTTAGCCACGCGTACGGTAATCAAGTCCCCAAATCTACCATTAACAACGATATAACTTAGCTTTACCAAATTTCATCTGTAAAATAAGTACTCTGTTTTTTTTTTAAAAAATTACATTGCCTTGTGTTTGTGAATTGTGATCTTATCCATACACAAATCCTTCAATCAATTGCCTACACGTCCACTTATAAGTCCCACTTCCTCTCCTCATCACACTATATAAAATTATAAACTGCATTTCCCAGAAGCCCCCAAATTAGATCTGGAAATTGAAGTGATTGCGAAGAAATGAAGCACACCGGGAAGAGTAGCAAAGGCAACAGAAAGACGTAGGCGGATGTGAGGAAAGACAGAAAATCCGGTACCGGAATGAGCGGATCGCCGAAGAAAAGAGGTTGCGGCGGAAAGTACACTTGGGCTGGAGAAGGGCTTTCGCCGGCTGAGATGGGTTGGAGAAAGAGGTTGTCGATGTTAAGGATCCTAACTTCGAAGATCCCGATGACCTGCTCACCGGTTGATTGAGCTGGGCTTTGATGGAGATCGTCATCATTTCTTCTGATTTCGCTCAGGATGATCAGATATAAATATTTTTGTCCCTGTAAATGAATAAATTGGAGTAATCGCCGTTTTCGTTTTGACGCTGCTTGTTTTTTTTTAATTATAGTATTTGTATCGAATTATCCCTTAACATATTTTTTCAAACATTTTATCACCTAAAGTTAAAACGTTACATCTTTTGTCTCAAATCTTTAACTCGTTAAAAAATATCAAAACTAAATTACACATTTAGTGACTTATCTGTTCTTATAGTTTGGATATAGTTACCCGATTTTTTCTTTCCTTTGGAAATCACTAAACTTACGTGGCTTCTTTACAAGCTATTAACTTTTGTATCTTATTCTTCCAAGCAAACCCATGCAACTGTCCATCCCAAAACTTACATCGATCAGGTTTTACCACCTAAATTACAACCTAATATATTGTCTCAAGATTCAAAGATTGGAGATGAATTCATCAACACGATCCCAACTGAAAAAAAAGTTAACAAGATATCATTGTTTCAAACAAATTCATATACTATAACAACTTTTTATTGTCTTAGAGACAGTAGTCGATAGAATGAAGATAAAACTAATTCATCCACTATCGAGCCAAATACATGCACATGAAGTTTGGGTGAGAATTGTGGTTTATGTCTAATGTATTGTCACTTACTGTAATACATAGACATACCAGTTTAGATCACCACCTATAGTATCTTTTGGCAATTGAAATTTGACAATAAGCTTTCAAGTATCATTTATCTCTAGAACTTAATCTAACATGTTATTATAACCTGAAATAATTAATACATATAGACAACAACTACATTAATTCAGATCTCATCAGATACATTAGCAGGGGTGAGCATTATTCGGTTTTAACTGATTAACCGACAACACTGACTTATGCATGTATAAGTTAGTCATTTCATTTACTAAACTATCAACACTAACTTACGCCTGTATAAGTTAGTCATTTCATTTACTAAACTATCATCACTGACTTACACTGGTATTAGCATACCTCATTAATAATTCGCTCAAATTAAAGTCAATCAATAGATCAATTGTTCACCAAACATAAATCACTTTAACTAATATCGTTAAGTAATTATAATGGATCGAAATATATTAAAATAATAATATATTAGAATTTTAATTTTGATGAGGCCGCTATCTTCCCCATGATCCAATTTAGTCCAAAAATTTTCAATAAGCCCTTAAGTATCAGGAACAATAATAATTCTTAATACTTACACATTATGTTAATTTAATCTTATTTTAATTCAATTAAATAAATTTAATATCTAATTATATGGTGACATGTATCAGTATATAATTGTAACTGAATTAAAGATGCAACTAGATTATCTTTTTAGTGTTACATTTTCATAAAATTTTTGGTTGCAAACTCTAAATATTATATAATATAACTTTTTAATTGTAATGGAAAATATTATAAATTTATATAATATTTTAAATAAAATATGAAAATATTTTAGGTTAAAAACTATATTAAATTAACAATGTCGCACAGCCAACTACCCCTAGGTAGTTACTACATTTACTTGTAGACTGAACAATCTCGCTAGTTTCAACCCAATTGGTGAACAATGTCAAAAGCTAGGTAGCAAGGAGCCAAGGTGTAGGAGCTTCGGCCTGCAATTGAGCCTGGCAAGCAGCGAATGTTCCTGCTAAACTCAGAGCCTTAGGTGCCTGTTTGGATACAGGATGAATAAGGTTGTACTTCTTCTTTAGGTTGTCAGACTTTTGCCAGAATTTCACTCGTCTGAGCATGCCATGTGACATGCACCAGTCCTATTGTGTGGTGGGGATATTTAAAATTAATGTATGGTGAGTTTTAATATAAAATTGTTTATGTTTTAAAAACTCACAATTTATAAAAATTTTATTATAATCGAAAATATTATATTATATAAAGTTTTAAATTAAAATGTTATTATGTTTGTTCTAAAAAGTCATGTAATCGATTATATATGAGAATGTCACATGAGTTTTTTGACAATAAATTTTTAAGTTGTAATCAAAATAATTATATAATTAATATAACTTATTACAAAGAGTATAATATTTTTTAACCTATAACATTATTTAATTTATTTAAAAAAATATATTTTTTAACTATAATCTTCTTTAAATTTTATATTAACTGATAGTGTTTTAAACTATGTATGACTTGATCTATCTAAATAAGTCTATAACTTTATCGTTCTTTTAGCCGACGACAGCTCAAACAAGAGAGTAATTTTGCAGTATAACCTAATAATTTAATGTTAAAAATTATGAATAACATTATCGAAAATATTATTAAAAATCATAACAACCTAAAATGTTACATTCTTCTTAATATTTTCGGTTAAATAAAAGATATTACAAAAAAGACAACATTTTATGTTACCAACTAAAAATGTTATAAAAAATAATATTTTATATTCAACCGAAAATATTATAAAAATAATATTTTAGTTTATATTTTTATTATTAGATGTTCCTTTTTAGATTTTCCCCAAACAAGACACCATTCCTAAAATAATCCCTGGTTCTCTTAAATATGATTAATTTCAGGGTGAAATTGGGTTATTATAATCTCATGGAGATGGTGCCCCATTTACTTGGCACACCTCTCCCATCTTGAGAAACCCTCCTACACGCTTCACGAAATATTCATCTATAAGCATTCGCACCGCCTAATCTGTCCCCATATTATTCTTTTTCTTACATAAATAGATTTGATAATATATTCAATAAATATAAATTATAATAAACTTAATACTATATGCTTAAATATAAATAATATAATATTAGTAAGACACTCATTTAGTGAAATGATAGACTTAACCTAATTTAGGTTTCTCACCTCAACAATAAATAAAAAGTGTGATGTGCTAATATTTTGATACGTTGTAAGAATTGTTTCATAAGTCTAATTTTAAAGTATATTGTTTATTTTCTCGAAAAATTATTTTTATTGTTTGAATTTTTGAGTAAATATTTTAAATTCTTTAAATCTAAGAAAATTCTCAAACTTCTAAAAATGATAGTTTTTTGTTTAATTTCTACGATTTTAAGTAAGTTTTGTAGAAAATCAATACTAAAAGAAGAAAGAATATTGAAATATGAATGTTTTAATATCAATTTTATTACGAAAGATGACCGGTCACGAGTCGTGATTGATTGTTTATGATGGTTGAAAAAGTACAATTAAAAACTAAAAATATTTAAGTTTATTTATAAAATTGATATACACGCAAAGTGCAATGGAAAAATGATATTGTTTTTTTCATCAATAATTGCACCAAAATAATATCGTTTTGTCCTTATCATCATATTGTTTGGATTTTAACGACCCATATACATAAATAAAGTTAAATACAATAATTGAAGAAATTAAAAGTTTATTAATATAAGCGATATATTACTTAAAGTTTAGTGACATATGGTGCAATTTATCCAAATAAAAAAATATAATTTAATAACCAAATTCATAAATACTAAAACAATAAAATATGAACTTAATTTATAATATTTTATGGGATTGAGAACGATTCAACGTATACGTCAAACCTACTTAGGATAAACGTAGAATTTATTGTAGGAGATAAATTTATAATATTTTATGTGATGACGAATATATAAAATTTTAAGGGATACAAATATTATTAATATAAAATGTAAAAAATATCTCAAATACATGATAAATTAAAATTTTCAGGGGAGGATTGCCCCTCAAATGGTCACTAGACCTAATGAATCAGAGTTTCCCAATCAGTCCACCCTGAACTTGTGAGCACCATCTCTGCATCCCAATTCCACCTCTAGATTCCCCCATTTAATCGAGAGAAAGTCTCTTTTTCGGCCCTGGCTCTGGCCTTTGCTTTGGAGCACTCTGTGACCTCAATTTAGCCTTGAATGATTGTGTCTTCACCATGTAATTTGGGCAATTCCCGTAATGTCTAAACCAGTTATCAGCAGCACACACACTCTTGGGAGCTGCAACCGAGGCATTAGGTCCACAACAACTGATGATCCGAGGTGTATTTTGCGCCGTAGAAAACCTGCATTCATAACCAGTTATAACACAATCACTGTGCTGAAAGTGTCGGCTTTCTTGTATGGATACTCGGGGTGCAGGAACTCGACATAGAAACGGAGACGAATAGGTCCGATGAAGCGGCTGGTCATTGTGAGAACCTGATTCGGAAGCGTTGTTTCTGCAAGATCTTGATTTAGGCCTACCACTGTCAACCTCCACAATTTTGGAGCTTTCATCAATGTCATTTGCAGTGTCAAAAGTGAACAGTCTCTCCTACAAATTGAGCGTTAAATAGTTTATAAATTAGCCTAAATTGAAGTCTAAAAAGATTAGAAATGATTGAATTTAAAGGAATTTTCACCAATGATTTTCGTTCTCGGATGCCGAATCTGTTGGCTTCACGGTTAACAAGTCCACCAGGTTTCCGGGGCATAATGGTAGCTTGTTTCCGCACTAAATATCCCCTAACTAGCGCTTGTATCTTAACCAATCCTTTTAAAGCTCGAAGTGCACTTCTAGCCTGTTTCGAGTCCAAAATCCGAAAATAAACACAACATAATCGAAAATCGCATAATTTTTTTAAAATATACTTACCAGATAGCCTCGAAAAACAGTTTGAATTTTAACGGCAGCCCGTGTTTCATGTCCGCCGAACATGGCTCCTCTGCCCTGACTTGTCAGCCTCACTACTGCCACGGCCGCCTTCGCAGCTGCTACTGCCGCATCAGCAGCCGCTGCCGTGGCAGCTGCTACAGCGATTGCGTGCATGTTTTGCTCCTTCTCCGTTTCGCCAGAGTATGATCTTAACCACGTTTCTGCGGGTGATATGTTTGATGGTATCATTGTAGTGTAGCGACACAATCCGCCGCTCGAATCCCTCCTTGAATGGCCAATGCTACACCGTTTCCTCTCTTTCCGATCATCGGAATTCGAGTAGTCTTTGCTGTTCTTTATACCAAATAAGCCCTTCAGCCACCTTGTACCTCTTCCCATTTCTTTTTTCCAACTCAGTACACTGAGTTCAAAGAGTAAGAGAGTGCAAGAAGTGAAATCTAAGAACGCCAATTTTGATGAGAGAGGTTAGAAACTACAAAATGGTCCCAATCTTAGGTTCTTGTGAAAAGTACCTAGAATAGGATAGTAATAATACATGTTCCGATTTCATTTATTTATATGAATAAAATCATGATGAACATGGACGTTGGGAACATATATATTATTTAAAATTATACCCATATCATAAATAGGAACAATATAATAAACTACAGTACGATTCAGACATAAAAATATAGTTACTGTACAAAAAATAAGAAAATAATAAACTGTCATGGCGTCGTGAGAAACTGCAGAACATGAATACAAAGATGCCTTCCAAAGATTCAAACGTTAGATTTTGGACGTGTATATATATAATAATAACAGCGATAGTTATTATAATTATCATGGTTGTATGTTATTGGTTGTTATAAATGATTTGATCCAATCAAAAGTGATTTAATAAGGTTTAAAGTTTAATAATAATTTTTATGTTATAATCAAAACAAAACTTATTTTTATTGAATAATTTAAGATTTATATTAAATCATTAAAAAATAAAAAATTAGATGTAGAAGTATATCTAAATCTAATAAAAGATTTGATGTTCAAATCTGGAATCTTATGATTTTGATATTCTAAATTGGTATACAAGTATTCCAAGGATGGTGACTCTCTCTTATCAAAGATGAGGTGTCAAAAAGCTAATTCATGTATAATTTAGAGACCATAATCCTAATAAACAACTTTGTACATCAACCTTAGTTTCTAATAAGTCTACTATTATTAAAAATTAGTTATTTGAGTATTAATACATATTTATCTCATACTTTATATAATTATTGAATCTTAATTGCATTGCAGGAACCAAGTATCTTTGGTGATAAAGTAATTGTTATTATTTTTTTAGGTTTCAAGTTTGAATATCTTGAATGCCAAGAATACGAGTGTTCAATGTCAATATTGTTTTATATTTACCCCAAATTAATAAAGAAAAATTTATTAAACCCTAACTAATATTATCACTATTAAATCACTTTTAATTTGGACTAACCAATTTATGATAGTAAATAGCATGCAATTACTACTTACTATATATACGATGTACATATGAATTAACGATCTCCCACTTGGAAACTAAATACTTAAACCTTGATTTAATAGCAGATCATATAGTCCAATTGGGCCAATTTGGTGAGCTTTGAGTTTCATTTTTTTTAACGAAAAAGGATAATTTGGAATATATGAATAGTCTGACGATCATGTTATATTTTTTAATAGTCGAGAGATTCAATAAAGCAACACCATATCGTCGATGAATCATTTCATAACTTTTTAATAGTCGAGATTTTTTTATTATTATACGAATTGATGTGTGAATTGAATTAATTGCATTTCAATCTCATTAATGGCTTCCACCTTATGCAACACCTTACCTGAGAATAAAGTTACAAAACAGAGAATCAATTACAGCAAAACCTTCCACTACTCTTTCTTTATTCCCTCTCCCTTTAAATCCGAACTCGGTTCCTTTCAAGAAAACGATAGCGATAGACGAACAAAACAAAGAAATGTGCTGTTTAATGCCTAAAACTTCCAAAACCTCCCCTCCGATGCAAAGCTTCTTACCTGAACCAGCAACCAATAACCTCAAACAAGAGCTTCTTCTGCAGATTCCACGATGCACGGTCTACTTAATGGACGAAGGAGAAGCCTTGGAACTCGCCAGAGGCGACTTCAAACTCGTAAAGATATTAGACGACGACATTCCGCTCGCCACCATCGTTAAAGTCACCGACGATCTTCAATGGCCATTGACGAACGACGAGCCCGTGATCAAGCTTGATTCGTTTCACTACCTGTTCTCGTTGCCTGTGAAAGATGGGAAGCCACTGAGCTATGGGGTGACCTTCGAGCGGCACGACCATGGGAAAAGCTTGGGGTCGTTGGATTCGTTTTTGAAAGAGCACTCGTGCTTCTCCGGTGCGGCCTCGACCGGGGACAAACATGTGGATTGGAAGGCGTATGCTCCGAGGATTGAGGATTATAACAATGTTTTGGCGAAGGCCATTGCTGGAGGGACGGGACAGATTGTTAAGGGAATCTTCAAATGCAGTAACGCTTATACTAGCCGGGTTCAGAAAGGAGGAGAAATCATTCTAAATCAACCTCCATCAAAGACTTATGGGATCACAGCAAGTAACAGCAACAAAAACATGGGAGCCAACAATAACCTTAAACGGTACTTTTTCTCGATTAATATTGTGTGAAAGTTGACCTAATTTTTCCATTAGAAGACAAAAGAAGCATGTTAACGTTATTATTGGCTGTGATGTAGTGTGAGAAATCTGTCGAAAATGACTGAAAAGATGAGCAAAACAATGCTTGATATGGTTGGTGTGGCTAGTGGAACAGTGATGGCTCCTCTGGTTAATTCCAGACCCGGGAAAGCTTTGCTCTCCATGGTTCCAGGACAAGTTCTTCTGGCCTCGCTTGATGCTGTTAGTGAGTAACTAACCCATATATCTAAGCTTTTTAGTACCACAATTTCATTGGATTTTTATTTATTTTGTTTTTTTTTTCTCACCTCTAAAAAAGAGTATATATGGCGACTGCATTTTCCATTTGATGTTTGACAGGTAAGGTTCTTGACGCCGCTGAAGTTGCTGAGAAGCAAGCTTTATCTGCAACATCTACTGCAGCAACCAGAACGATGACAGAAAGGTAACATGACCCCTTATGCTCCTATTTTTCATTTTATTTTTTCTAAAATCCGAACTAACCAAATTCAAATTAATTCAATCCAAATCTACCCGACTCACCCAATTGAACGTATTCTCGTTAAAAACTTGTACATATTCAACATTGACACTTGAATCTAGATAGTTTGGGGACACTATAAAATAACATATGTTCATACTTTTTTTAATCTATTAAAAATACACATACCCTTTAGGCGCAACTACTAGAATTTAGAATATCTATAAAGAATAATATTTCTTTTTATTAGGTCACTTGATGGGTTGGGTTGGATTAAAGTTTCATGTATGTTGATTGTTGTTGTGTTTGATATTTGTGAACGTGCAGGTACGGAGAAAGAGCAGGGGAAGCAACTGAAGATGTGCTAGCAACTGCGGGGCATTGCGCAAACACTGCTTGGAATATATTCAAAATAAGAAAGGCATTCACTCCTTCGTCCACAGCCACTTCGGGGCTGCTGAACAATGCGGCCAAGTATAGCAGTAACACCAGGAGCACATCTTACTAACACTTTCATCTGCTTTTGTAATTCCCTATAAACCTAAAATATCTAAACATCCTTTAAATATTATAAATAACTATAAATTAAATATATTTGTGTTAAATATAATTACTTGTAATCGTTAGATCGTGGAAAATCAGTATTAACAGATTCATAGTTTTAAATTATGGTCTGCCATGAAATTTCAACTGTGTCGCTGTTTGTTGATATTTCTAAATCACGAATATCTTTTTCTAATGACCATGTGATTCTCTTTTAATAGGGTATTTTTTTATATTTCTTTTACATAATATTTAGATTATTCATGATTTTAAAATTTTTAAATTAAAAACAAAAAACTATTTCAGCACATTGAAATTTAAGTTCTCTAAATTGTAATAATAATATCAAACGAATTAGTGTTCAAACAACCTGTTTATACATTTTGAAAATTAAGTAGGTAGATGACTTGACTAAACATAATTAAGTAGGTGTATAACTAGGGATGGACATGGGACCCCGATCCGAAGGGTTCCAACCAGACCCGATCGGGTCGAGTTTTTTTTAAAATTCAGGTTTGAGTCGGGTCAGATTGGAATTTTTAAATGTGATGTTTAGGTCGGGTCGAGTTTAAGTTTATGGTGAAAATTATCTGACCCGAAAAATATACAATTTTATCTTATATATTCAGGAATAATTACAATAATACCCATCTATATATTATTTTTTCAATTAAGTCACTGTTTTTATTGAATAAAAATAATATTATTTTAAATTATTAGGGTCGGGTCGGTTTTTTAAGTTATATATTGGGTCGGGTTTGGGTCGGATGAAATATTGTTTTGATCGGGTCGGGTCTGATCTCGGGTGGAGGATTCCTTATTCTCGGGTTGGGTCGGGTGGACCAAAAATCCAACTCAACCCGACCCATGCCCATCCCTATGTATAATTAAATATTATGTAATAGTATTTTTCCATTTTATAATTTAAAATAAAATAATTAAAAATCATTTAATTAAAGATTTAATACAGATTCAATAAAATACCATATAACTTTTTTTTTCACTTCACTTTAATAATATAATATAAATTTTAAAAATATTTGTATATAAAATATTTTCTTTAACATATAATATAAATATTATAAATATATTTATTTTTATATCAATTCATTCTTGGAGTCTTGCTTATCAGTAAGAAATTATTTAGACTGATAAGATAATATTTATTTAAAATCAATTTTAGTCATTAATAATATATACATATTCTATTAGTAGAAGATTTAAAAATATTTTTCAGGATACGTGTTATCGACAAACAGGAATGAAGACACTCGATCCTGTCGATCGCTTAATTATTACCAAAGCATTCAATGCATAAATTAATATAAGGTTATACTATATAATAAGTCATTGTATTATAAATAATTTTGTAATTGGATCATTGTAATTTGAAAAGTCACATATCACTCTATAAATTATAACAATCAAATTACTTTACTGATAAGCGTGTAACAAACATTGACTTCTTAATTATATTCAATTCATTATATTTATCGATTATAATAACTAGACCACTCAAGTATAACTCAAAGTTTAAAATTTATTACACATTTAATGATAAATTGATCTGGTTGTTATAATCAATAAATAGAATGATCCGATTATGATTTTTAAAATATATTTTGAACTTAATATTAATACAAATATTTATGGTGTAACTTACTTTTAGTTTAATAAAATTATTTTATTTGATGAAATTAATGTTGATATATACAAGA